CAACATGGTGAAACCCCGTCTCTACTAAAAATACAAAAATTAGCCAGGCGTGGTGGTGCGCACCTGTAATCCCAGCTACTCGGGAGGCTGAGGCATGTAAATATCTTGAACCAGGAGGCGGAGGTTACAGTGAGCCGAGATCACACCACTGCAGTCCAGCGTGAGCAGGAGAGGCTCCATCAAAAAAAAAAGGAAAGAAGGAAGGAAGGAAGGAAGGAGGGAGGGAGGGAGGGAGAGAGGGAGGGAAGGAAGGAAGGAAGGAAGGAAGGAAGGAAGGAAGGAAGGAAGGAAGGAAGGAAATATAACCTAACACACAAGGAACCACAGCACCATCATCCCCCATACTCTTCAGCCACCCACACATGCTCCTTTATATCAAGGGCTTTCAAAGTATCATTTCTTCTGTTTTCCTCTTCTTCTTCTTTTTTTTTTTTAAGACGGAGTTTCGCTTGTCGCCCAGGCTGGAGTGCAATGGCATGACCTCGGCTCACCACAAACTCCACCTCCCAGGTTCAAGCGATTCTCCTGCCTCAGCCTGCTGAGTAGCTGGGATTACAGGCATGCCCTACCATGCCCGGCTAATTTTTTGTTTTTAGTAGAGACGGGGTTTCTCCATGTTGGTCTGGCTAGCCTTGAACTCCCGACCTCAGGTGATCCGTCCGCCTCGGCCTCGCAGCTGTTTTCCTCTTCTAAAGGGGTCTCTGCACCCACAAGGATCAATCACTTTCCTCTCTGTTCACATGTCTGTCTTTTCACAGGAGTATAGTTTAAGAGACTACTTATTTTGTTCTGAAGTGTTTTCTTATACAAAAAAACATAAATGTATCCTTGTCTTCTTACATGGCATGTTTCTGTGGCAAAGTTTGTCCTCTACATAAGATAAATTCCCATGTGGGCATGGTGACCCCCGCCTGTAATCCCAGCACTTTGGGAGGCCAAGGTGGGTGGATCACCTGAAGTCAAGAATTCGAGAACAGCCTGACCAATATGGTGAAACCCCTCTCTACTAAAAATACAAAAATTAGCCAGGTGTGGTGGTGTGCACCTGTAGTCCCAGGTACTCAGGAACCTGAGGCAGGAGAATCACTCAAACCCAGGAGTTGGAGGTTGCAGTGAGCCAAGATCGTACCACTATACTCCAGCCTGGGCAACAGAGCAGGACGCCATCTCAAAAAAAAAAAAAAAAGATAAATTCCCATGAAACTTACATTTTCATACCAGTTTTCTGCTAACTATTTTATAGCTGCTGTTCAGGGTTAAAGTAAATCCATTTTAAAACAAATTCCTAGTAAGGGTGGTGGCTTATACCTATAATCACTGTATTTGGGAGGCCAAGACAGGAGGATTGTTTGAGCTCCGGAGTTGGAGGCTGCAGTGAGCTGTGATTACACCACCACACTACAGCCCGGGTGACAAAGCAAGACCCTATCTCAAAACCAAAAGAGGCCGAGCACAGTGGCTCACGCCTGTAATCCCAGCACTTTGAGGCGCCAAGGCAGGATTGTTTGAGCCTAGGAGTTTGAGACTAGCCTGGGCAACATGGCAAAACCCATCTCTACAAAAATACAAAAATTAGCCAGGTGTGGTGGTGCACACTTGTAATCCCAGCTGCTCAGGGGGCTGAGGCAAGAGGATCACTGAGCCCAGGAGTCCATGGCTGCAGCGAATCATGTTTGCATCACTGCACTCCAGCCTGGGCAACATAGCAGAATCCTGTCTAAATAAAAAATTAAAATTAAAAAACGCCAGGTGTGGTGGCTTATACCTGTAATGCCAACACTTTAGGAGGCCAATGCAGGAGGAGAATCGCTTGAGGCCACAGGTTTGAGACCAGCTTAGGCCACATGGTAAGACGCCATGTCTATTACTTAAAACAAAAACAAAAATGTCACAGGCATGCCTATCTATGGCCTGCCTGCTCGCCCTCCCTCTTCCCAGTGTAAGACGAGGCAAAGATCACCTGCTGCTGTCGGCTGTGATGCTGCACTCTACAACAGGAGCCTTGGGCCTGTGCTCAAAATTGCGAACCACAGAACCATCCACCGCATCCTCAAATCAATGGGAGAGAGAGGAGAAGAGAGTGGTCACTGCCGTGTTTGCTGAAGTCATAAATGGAGGTCAACATTAGCCCTTAGCTTATCTCTGGTAGCAAAATCTGAGAACTCCACGGTCCTGGGACTCTCACTCAGCTCCGAAAGAGGAAAGGACTTTGCAACATGTCCCCTGAGCGGGAAGGACACCCTTGCCATTCTTGGCATCCATGGGAAATTACCCCGCAATTCCACAGACACCAGGTGGAAACTGGCCATGCTGGGGGCACAGCTGCAAACGGATGGTGTTTTCCTTTCCTACCGGCCAAAAAGGCTTTGCAGAATCTAGCAGTGTTTTCCGGGCCAGGCGCAGTGGCTCACGCCTGTAATCCCAGCACTTTGGGAGGCCGAGGTGGGTGGATCACTTGAGATCAGGAGTTTGAGACCAGCCTGGCCAACATGGTGAAACCCCATCTCTACTAAAAATGCAAAAATTAGCTAGGTGTGGTGGCGCACGCCTGTAGTCCCAGTTACTGGTGAGGCTGAGGCAGGAGAATCGCTTGAACCCAGAAGATGGAGGTTTCAGTGAGCTAAGATCGTGCCACTTCATTCCGGCCTGGGCGACAGAGTGAGACTCCGTCTCAAAAAAAGAAAAGAAAAGAAAAGAAAAGAAAAGAAAAGAAAAGAAAAGAAAAGAAAAGAAAAGAAAAGAAAATGATCGTCTTGGGGTGTGGGATCGAGACCCATGCACGCACTCTGGGCGGGCCGGGGCCAGCTCAGGGCAGCGCCAGAATGGATCAGGGTCCATGGGGCTGTGCAGCTTTAGACTCGACAGTGACACCACGTGGCCAAGAGCAGAAACAGCCACTGTGCACAGATCGGCCCACTCCCTCTACACTGGGCATTTGGAAGCAGGACCCCATCCTGTGGACCCAGACAATTTAAAGGGCAAATACTGGTTAGACTTCAAATGAATGAGGGAAAGAGGGTCTAATAAATAGTTGGAAAATAAAGGAGATGTGACAATATTTGGCGTCTAAGTTTATGGTAAGTACATATTCAGTATTTCGGTACAGTCCCAATTTCATAAATGTATGTGGATGTGCGTGGACAGGAAAAAAATACCTATGCCAACATTTTCACAGCCGTTAACTCTGGGGTCAATGGAAAGATGAGTTTTTTCTTTCTTGTGTTTTCATGTGTTTCCTGTAATAAAATCATATTACCTTTGTAATAATATGAGAAAAACTACCAAACTTTTTTTTTTTTTTTGAGACAGGGTCTTGCTCTATCACCCAGGCTGGAGTGCAGTGGCAAGAACACGGCTCACTGCACCCCTTGGCCTCCTGGGCCAAAGCCATCCTCCCATCTCAGCCTCCCAAGTCACTAGGACCACAGGCACACGCCGCCGCGCCTGGCTAATTTTTTGTTTTTGGTAGAAACAAGGTCTCATTATATTGCCCAGGCTGGTCTCAAACTCCTTGGCTCAAGCGATCCTCTTGCCTCAACATCCAAAAGTGCTGCGATTACAGGCATGAGTCACTGTGATCAGCATTTTTATTGTTTTGTTTTGTTGTTTTGTTTTGGTTTTGACACTGGATCTCACTCTGTTACCCAGGCTTCAGTGCAGAGTTGCAATTATGGCTCACAGCAGGCACCACCTCCTGGGCTCAAGCAATCCTCCCAGCTCAACTTCCGGAGTAGCTAGGACTACAGAAGTGCACCACCATGCCTGGCTAATTTTTTATTTTTTATTTTGTAGAGATGAGGGTCTTGCTACATTGCCCAGGCTGGTCTCAAACTCTTGGCCTCAAGCAACTCTCGCCTCAGCCTCCCAAAGCGCTGGGATTACAGATGTGGGCCATTGCACTCAGCTTTCTGGGAGCCTTAAACCCTTTCTTAATCCTCTGGGGTGACTGAGAGGCCCTGGGGCAAGGGAGCCTCTCCCCTTGTCATTGCCCAGGGGATGGGATGGTAACTTACCACCTGTATTATGGTCCACCTTGTATCTTCCAATTCCCCCACATTATTCTCCCACCACCACCACCCTGCCTTTTTTTTTTTTTTTGTATTTTTAGTAGAGAAGGGGTTTCACCATGTTGGCCATGCTGGTCTCGAACTACTGACCTTGCGATCCACCCGCCTGGGCCTCCCAAAGTGCTGGGATTACAGGCATGAGCCACTACGCCCGGCCCTTGTTTCCCCTTTTGAGTTGGCAAAAGGGCCCCCTGGGGCTGCTGTCTGTGTTGGCCAAAGGGCTCTTTTCTCCGTGAAGGGAAGGATGCCTGTTTTCACCTTGGTTGTTGTCCCAAGATTAGAGAACCTAATCTTGGAGAGACCCTCGGTCCCCACAGCAGCCTCCTTGTTCTCGTTCCCTGCCCGTTCCATGCCGCATCCACAATGCGGGCACTGCCACCTCGGCCACCTCGTATGCCCTCCTTCCCATAAGCCGTCCTTCTCCATGTCCCAGGAAGCACATCCAAGTGTTCTCCACCCACACCACGGACCACTCCCAGCCCTCCTCCCTCCACCACCTTCTCCAGGCAGCCCCCATCCCTGTGCTCCCTCCCTCTGCCCTCCTAGCGCCTTCGCCCCTTGTCCTATAAATCGCCACCTCTCCTCTGAGCCCCTGCCTTTGCTGGTCCCATTGGCTGCCACTCCAGGGACCTGTCTCCTCCCCGGCTCTCTCCTCCCATCTTCATCCCCTCCTGCTGGCTGCTTGAGACCCTCAGTTGTGGCTCCCACCATGCGCTTCATGTCCCTCCGTAGGGGGTGAACCCATAACCCTACACAGTCACCTCCTCTTGTCACAGTATCTTGGCCAAAATCTCCGCTGGCCTCCCCTCTCTGCCTCATCCACTGACCCCGTTTCCAGTGCCTGCCCCCAGCAACACCTCAAATCCAAATACCTTTAAATCTTTTAAAAGCCCCTTTTCCTCTAGGTGCGGTGGCTCACGCCTGTAATCCCAATGCTTTGGGAGGCCAAGGCGGGCAGATCACCTGAGGTCAGGAGTTTGAGACAAGCCTGGCCAACATGGTGAAACCCCATTTCTACTAAAAATACAAAAATTAGCCGGGCGTGGTGGTGGGTGCCTGTAATCCCAGCTACTTGGGAGGCTGAGGCAGGAGAATCGCTTGAACTCAGGAGGCGGAGGTTGCAGTGAGCCGAGACCATGCCATTGCACTCCAGTCTGGGCCACAAGAGCAAAACGCTGTCTCAAACAAAAACAAACAAACAAAAAAAAACCCTTTTTCCCTAATTGAAGACTACTGTGAATAACTTGGAAAGTCCATAAATGTACAGAGAAGCTGGGGAAAATATTCTTTTTTTTTTTTTTTTTTTTTTTTT